GTGTTTTCGTTTTGAAATGATCACAGTAAAGTGGGCTGTAGGTCTCTATAAATGAAGAAAAGAGAATGGAGAGAGAGAGAGAGTATGTGTGCACACTCCAATTCAGACCCTGAGGTGGAACTCTCACTAACCTGGTTTGGATACTCTTTAACGTGTCGTTAGTTGGTTTTCTGCGTGTGCATTTTTTTCTCTTTTTCTCTCTCTCTCTCTCTCTCTCTCATTTTACATTGAGTTTGTGGTCTGCCATCAATGAACGTTTAAGTTGATACAGGGTCACAGGAACAGCACACATCGACTGATCCGAACGCTCTCGTGAACCAACTCGCTTGGTTTAGAGAGCTTGGCAACTCTCAAAGGTTAATAATAATAATAATCTTTGCATTTGATATAGCGCCTTGTCACGTCTTCGAGACATTCCAAGCGCTTCACAGAACATACTGGTAAAGTGAATTGTATTTTGTGGGCAAAGAGTTAACCCGAGCACGGAAAAGAGAAATGTGCTGTTTTGTGCAACTTGACAGTAAGGTTGTGGCAAACATGCTCAAAGGCAGCGAAGTGGGTTCAGAAAGTCTTGTGGTTAGCTGACGAGCTAAGTATTTGCATTCCTCAGCCGTGGATCACCATCCATTCAGTCCTGGGTGCCGGTCAGCTTATAAAGCGGACTTCCGCTTGACTCACACCTTTTGTGAATGGGTCCACGAAGAGCTTGATGACTCATTGTTTAATTGGGAGTGAAGACGCGATAATGATCACGATTGATACAGCCCCGTAGAGTATTTTAGCACTGCTCGGTCAGTCAATGACATAGAAAGTTAAGAGCATGGAAGCGGGCCATTTAGCCGAACTGGTCTGTGCCGGTGTTTATACTTCACACAAGATCAACACTTTCTGCCTTACGTAAACGTCATGTTTTCCCTTAAGTAGGTTGATGCTTTTTTTGCGCTAACCATGGCTTTTGGCAGTGGGTTCCACACACTGACCGCCCTCTGCAATCGGTTGCCAACACGTTTCACCCTGGAGGCATTTGACTTGTTTTCTCTCTGCTCTAAATACAGTTACCAGCATTGGCCTGGTCTTGGTCTGTGAGCTCAAGTCCTGTCACAGTGCAAACTTACAGCATAGAAGAAGGCCGTTCGGCCCATAGTGTCTGTGCTCGTTCCCTGTAGAGCGATCGTTTCAATCCCATTTACCTACCCTTTTCCCATCCCCCGAAGCTTTGGAACTCTCTCCCTCAATCCTTCCGCCTTGCCCGCACCCTCCCTTCCCCTCTTTTAGATCACAACTGAAGACCGTCCTCTTCGACCATGCTTATGGTCACCCCCTCCCCCACAACCCCTCCCTCCCCCCCCAGCTCAGTGCCAGCTCCGAGACAGTGCCCCGCGTGAAGGACGCTATATAAATGCAAGTTGTTGTAGTTTACTGTGCGGTTTTGAATGTTCTGCTGAGACGAGGAGACTGGTCTGGAGTGTGGCAGTGTTGTACAACCATTGCATTCTTTAACTGCTCACCCCCCCCCCTCCCAAGCACAACCAAACCAGCTCTCCACACAATGCAACCTGTTGATTTACTGTATCCCTTGTGCTAACGGTTTCTGTTGCAATCAATGGACCTGAACAATGCAACACAAGATGTTCTCTCGTTGAGTCCAAATGCACATTGTTGAGGCAGAAGCCCTAAAGCCTCAGGTGCCAAAGCAGAAGCTTTGAGGTTGTGCCAGTAATGCTTGCATGGTAGCAGTGTTCACTGAATACTATTCAGAGGGCAATCTGATTTCTTTTGTCATTTTTGTTTTGCCTCTCTCTCTCTCTCTCTCTCTCTCCACCATTGTTTGAGACTCAAACAGAGTGAAATCTGGATCACTTCACTTTAGATCTGAAAGGAGCTGGTGACATTATCTCTGCCCAGGGAGTGTCGTTAACCTCTGGAGGTTATACTCTGCGCAGAGATTCACGCCACGTTTCTGGGTAGATAATGGGCTCCAGCCTGTGGTTTTTGTTTTGGTTTGTTTTTTTTGTTGTCTTCAATTTGTTGTTGCGGAATGATATCGGGAATCCGTCCGGTTTTTCGAATGAGACGTTAAACCGAGGACGCAGTCTGTGCCTGTTCAGGTGGACGTTAAAGATCCCACAGCACTACTCGAAAGGAGAAGAGAGTTTCTCCCGGTCTCCTGGCCGACAACCCCCAAATAAAAAGAAAATTGTCTGTTTGTGGGACGTTGTTCGTGGGCAAATTGCCTATAAAATACGCAGCCACTCCACCTTACGGTATATTCCGTGAAGCGCTTTGGGACCTCTCGACGACGCGATAAGGCGCTGTATCAAATACAAGGAATAGTACCATTGTTAATATTACTGAGTGTCTGCAAGTCCTTGATCCCCTGCTGTCAGATTGGGTTTCCATAGCGATTGTTTGGTACAGTCGTAAGTGGGCCCAGCTCTTGCGTCTGCTGCTCAAAACCTGACCTCAGATGCCTGATGAACTGCTGAATGGACTGCATGCAAATGCCCAGTAATTCCCCGTAATCTGTATTAAAGGAAAACCACTCCAGTCAGACCGGAGGAAGAGGCAAATGCACCCGTAGCTGTCTCCGCAACCTGCGGTGCCTCTGCCTTTAAATAGCATTTCTTTTCTTAGTGAGGTCAGCGACCTGTTTTTTTGCTAAAATGCAAGATTTTTGACCGCGCTGATAAGCTGCTAGAATTCAAACAGATTAAACCTCGCTCCCTCGCACCCACCCACCCACCCCCCCTCGGTAGCCGCTAAATTAGTTTCTCTGTAATCACAAAAGCCTTATTATTTTCTTTCCCCACCAAAAACAAGAGGGATGAAGGAACCCGCCAGACAATCGTAGCGACAGGTTTCCATGCCAACAGTCGCCGCTCTCGGCTGTACAAGGCAGTGGGAGAAAATTCACCTCTTAATTGTCGAGTCAAAATCCCAACAGGGCATTAACTCTTCCGAGGATTGCAAAGATATCCCGCGCTGCCGAGAGAAATAACAATAATAATACCTCTCGCATTTAACATAGCGCCTCCCACCACCATCACTGACGTTGCCTTGACCATGTCTTACACCGACCGGAAAGGTTAGGAAGGTTATTTCGGCTTTCGCGGGGTTAACCTTAGCCAAAGCGCGATGACTTCATTCTGGTTTAACACTGTGTTGTTTTTATTGGGTCGCTCAGCACGAAATAGCTGTCGCCACAATCTGCCAGCTCAGCTAATCTACTGTAAACAGCCTGCTTGCCTTTAATATAAATACTACCTGCTATTAGGTCATTCTAGCCCACTACAACGGTGTTTGTAGCCACTGTAGTGTAAAGCGGCTCACGCTGGTAACTTTCAAAGTCAAAAGAACGCTGCACACTTCACGAACAGCTTTAGAGAGGTGACTTTATTGGTAATGCAACAACAGCGCCCGTCATGCTGATTAGTGCCTCGATACTGCCCTGTTACCGAGGAGCATAGGAACAGAAGGAGGCCATTCAGCCCTTCGAGCCTGTTCCGCTATTCAATTAGATCATGGCTGATCTGTACGTCAACTCATCCTGTCAATTCCAATTTTGCGCTTTTTCCCCATGTCCCTTGATACCCTGACCTACCAAAAATCTATCAACCTCACTCTCGAAGAATCCCAGAAATGGGCAAAATTTGTGGTATTCCTTAAAGCGTTCCTCAACTCATTTAAGGGAGGCCGCCATATTTGTATCCGGTGGAAATTTCCAGCGCAGAGACAGCCATTGTACCTCTGCTACCTGCTTTTAAAGCTTGTTGTTAGGAAGATCATATTGGCCTTAGGGATTGCGGGAAGATTATTTATTCATATCTCTTGATCTTGCAGCCATTGAGTGTTGGTGGGCTATTTGACTGGGAGGGGAGGGAGGCGGTGGTGGGAAACTGGGGAGAGATCAGGACCCTGATTGATATCTTGCCCCTCTCTAGCCTTGGGGCACTGAGGCCGACTCTAATTCCTTTACTGCTGACCTGTTGAGATCCGCAACCTCAGGCTAGACCAGGGGTCCCACTGCGTGAGATTACGGACTGCGTGGAAGTGACTTTTTAACCCACTGAGTTGCTCGGATGGGTTAATCCAACCTCAATCTGATCAGTAAATGTTCCAAATGCAGAAACTCCCGAGAGGCAAGAAAGAGACCGGCGGCTGGATGGAAAAGTTTAAATATTTATTCTAGATTCATTGTTCGAAGCTCGGATCGTGTTGCAGTGCCAAGTTTCGCTGTACGGGAAGAGTCTTGAGTTACCTTGCATTTAGTTTCTAAACTACAGCTAGTTGTCAAATCATAGTATCGTAGAATTATACAGCACAGAAGGAGGCCATTCGGCCCATCGTGTACGTACTGGCTCTTTGAAAGAGCTGTCCAAATTAATCCCACTCCAACGCTCTCTCCCCATAGCCCTGCAAATCTATCCTCCCCAAATGGAACCAGTTCTCAAACTGTTTGCCGTTGCTTGGCGGAAGCGGGTGGGTGGGTGTGGTGTGGTATTCTCCACACACCTCATCCGGATTGCCAGGCAAATTAACATTGAAAGCCAATTGCTCTAATCCATTCAAATAATAGTCAGCCATTTCCTTACTTATATAATTGGATTTATTTTTCAACGTGAAGTATACATTGTTGTATGCGTCAGCATCTTGGGACATTCTCCTGACGTGAAAGGTGCTACATCAATATAATTTGCTGTTGTGCAATCTGCCTGGCCTGCAAATAACCTGTATTTCCTGCTTTAACATTACATATTCGTTGCCAGCACAGCCCCTAAAACGCTGCCGTGAATCGAATCAGCCCATGAGGGGAGCTAGTGTGCAGAAGCTCACAGTTTTGAGACGATTTTACTGCATTGATTCAATCGTGTTGGAAAACATCTCTCGCTTTGCATTGGGCGCCTATCTTACGCTTCGCAAACTTCTTGGGGGTTGAACTTTACGACGGTTGCTCACGAGCCTGTCGAATATATAATCATCTGGGAGGGGCAGATCATTGCTAGATAGGAGACTGAAAATCAAGTTCACTGTCACCAGGGTTAGCAGCATATTGGTTAGAACACTTTTCTCGCAAGCAGGAGGATCCAATTTCGATTCCCGGGCAGGGCAAAACGTTGACCAGGTTTCCTTACTCCACGCGCCTCTTTACCAAGTAGTGAGTCAGAACCTGGTTGTTAGGTCGATTGGCGGATGGCTTTCCGAGGGGGGTAATACTCCCTCCCAAAAAAATGTCACAAGGATTAGTCCTGTAGCTCAGTGGTGAAAGTACTCGCCTCGCAAGCGAGAGACCTGGGTTCCATTCGCGGCAGGGCAGGAAAAGAACTACCCCAAATGGAAGGTGTATTATATTTATAGTTGAGGGTAAGCAAACTCGGGAAAGTTGCAATGCTCTCTCAAGGAGGGAGAGAGGCGGTTATATGTACATGTGCACCGCTTGAGCGGTTCAAAGTGTTTCTGGTCTATTTCACACACTGGACTGCAGTGTACACCACCATCCACTAACTCGATGACTTAATCAGGAAGTGAATGGTCGATGCACCAAACACATCCACTTCTCACTCAGACGTTTCTCAAATTTTAACGATGCAAAAAAAAAAAAATGAGCAACTTTTGAGTTTCAGGTTCATCTGATGGAAGTTAGGAAATTGGGTGGGTGGTTAAAGGGGGGTCAGAGCAGATGCTGCAGGTGAGGTTTTGCTTTGCAAAGTCAATTGCATCACTCCTCCTCCTCCTCCTCCTGCCTCTGCCTTCACCTGTTAGCGAAGAGGTGATGCCAAACTACTGGTTGGCTGTGAGTTGCGTTTGAGTAACGTAGTGAAACCTACTTCACAGGGCATTCCAGCAGAGGTCTGACTGCAGGGAGTATCGAGATCAGACTTGCTTGCTGGCTTGGCTTTCCTGCATGTGTGTTTCTTTTTAACTGATTGATCATATAATATATATATTTCTCATGTATAAGGAGTTTGCAGTGCAACAGCAAAAGGGATTTGCTCCTCTCTCTGTCTCTCACACACAGAGTGGATTATAATTCAGAACTTACTTTGACTGGTGTTGTGTGTGTGTTGGGTGGGGGTTGAACACAAGCCCAGGTTTTTTGCATTTCAGTGGATTGTTAACCTGGGAACAGCCAGGAAAGAACAACAGAGAGAAAGACACACACAGAGTTGACGTTCAAAGGTGTGTTTGTACTGGTGAGTATCAGCCTTACTGTTTGATCACAAGCCTTTACTGTTGTGAACCTCTCTATGAAAGGGAACGTGGGTATTTTTATGTGTGTGTGTATGTGCATATATATATATATCAGTGAAGCAAGCAGTGAAAAAAAAGTTAACAGTAACTTTAGCAGACACTTTAGAGGTGTCCAGCTGATAACATTAACAGCTGTTAGTCGTGGTGGGAGAATATTTCATCTGTTAACAACTCCCCCTCTCTCTCTCTCTCTCTTTCTCTTTCCCCCCACCTTAACCTTAACTTCTGACTCTTGTCATAACGTCAAAAGAATATGTAAGCGAGTTGATCCGGTCCAAATCCAGCACCTTGGGACGTCTTCCCGACGTGAAAGGAAGGCGATATACCAATGTAATTTGTTGTTGTTCCAGTTCGCCTACGCTGTGTTGTGTTTTTTTTTATTTTCACAAAACACAGCCACGCTTGTGCGAGGTTTGTGCTGGGTTGGGTTCGGGATGTTCTGTACTTAAGTGAGGACATTGTAAGGGATAAATTGCTTCTCTTTCCCCACCTACTCTTTTCCCCCCCCCTCCACCCCCATCCCAACCTGCTCCGCAACCAAGTCAGTTGCCTTTATCTGTTCCCCCCCACCCCCGCTTTGTCCAGAGTGATTTGTGATGGACACCAGACAAGACACTAATGGCCGATCAGTCTCAAGTGTCCTTTTAAAAGCCTCTTCAAAGGGAAGCAGCGAGTTGCATTGCTAGCCTTTCAGTGGCTGAGTTGTTCGTGACTTTGGTACAGACCTGGCTTGAAGTTTGTGGTGTGTATGCGTGTGGGGGGGTGGGGGCCTCTTTTTTAAATGAAGGTTGGGGGCAACGGCAGACAATCTGGGGTAAATGCGAGCTCCTTGGATTGGAGGGCGGCTTCAGTGAAGGGTTCCGGTCGTGGCTGAATTCCTCTGAAGGCTCTCCCCTAGGGAAGCTGTGGCGGGGGAGGGGAGGGGAGGTGGGCAGAGAATTATAGGCTGTAAAATGTTCTTTTTGGGTGTCCAGTCCAGGAGATTAGAATGAATGCATGACCGCCTTCCCCATGTCCATCATTAGGGAAGAATCTTACTTCAACCCCTCTTTCTCTCCACCCCCCCCACCCCTCCACACACACACATAAATAATCTGGGAGGTGTTGTAGTTTATCAGGACTCTCATTTGAGATCAGCTAACCCAGCTCTGACAGGGAATGAAGCCTGGGGAGGTCTAGTCTGCTCTGCACGGTTCATTTCCATGTGGCGCAGTTTGCCATCCACAGGGCTGCTTGTATTTAATCTGGGTGTCGTGGAGAATTTTGTGTGTTTGTGGTGGAGAATTTTATGCTCCTGGTTCTTTGTAACTCTATTCCATCGCTGGCTTCCAGCAGGTTGTGAAATGATCCCTTGCATTTTGACACAGCGTCTTTCACGTCGGGAGGACGTCTCCAAGCGCTTCGCGGGAAAGCATGGTGACTGTGTGCGTTTTACTATTCGAAAATAAGAAGGGAGTTTTCGTTTCTCCCAGCGTCCTGGCCGACAATCCCTCAAATAAAATCGGTCGCTCGCATCATGGCAGTTTGTGCGATGTTGCTGTGTGCAAATTGGCTGCTGTCTTTGCACACAAAACACACAGTCGCAGCACTTGACAGTAAATTTCTATAAAGCGCTTTGAGATGTGCAGACGACGTGATAAGGCGCTGTAATAAGTGCATGGGTTGTTGAACTTTCTAAGTGACTTTAGTCTGTCTGTCACTGACCTCCCAATAAATTGTCCATTTGAACAATTAAATGACTTACCATTTCCACTCTGGCTCTGTTCAACACAGTGTCCAAACATAGCTGGTTTAGCCTGAATTCTGAATGCGTTGCTGGTGAAGCTGTTCACCCAGCTAGAGGAAGGAGACCGCATGTCCTGAAGGCTTCCTTTATCTCCACTTCAAAAGCAATTCCAGTCCTTCACAGAATATTTGGAAACCGACGTGCCAGTTAACGCATGAGCGAGGAGATACAAGTATCTTGTTCAATGATGATTCGCCTTGTGTGATTCTGATCCTTCTGTCGTTTGAGATAGCATCTGTGATCTGTTTAGTATCAGTGTTTGGTATCGATGAGATTGAAGAGAAACTGCATTCATGTCTGCTTCTTGTGATGATGGTGTGGGCTAACCTTTATTTTTGTTTGTCACCCTTAACTTTCTTGAGGTTGGACTGGTGCTGGGTACATATCCCAGACTGCTGATCAAAGATCACCCTCCATACTGTCCCCCAATTGCCTATTCTTCATGTGCCAGTGTTGGCAGAAAGAGCATTTGGCGTCCCATCCGAGACTTAACCCTGTCTTTTCCTGATGTAGACCACAAGATTAGTTTGCACGAAGAATGCCCTTCAGCCCATCCTTCCATGATACCTGAAACGAGTCCCAATATCCTGCCCTCAATCACTCTTCCTAGTAACCCTGTTCAATCATTCATCTCCCTCTCAGCAAAGAAACCCTTCCAGAAATTGCCCCTTTGCAACTTGAAACCCATGTGGGCTTGTTCTCCTATCTCGGTGTATCCTAAAGTATTGCTCTGGCTTCACTTCTCCAATCAAATGTTAAATATTATGCACCTCTATGAGATGTCAAGACAGATGGAAAGACACACACGCACTTTGTTGTGAGAGGAAGACGAGGGCTGGGGTGAGTGAGTGGGTGTGTGGGTAGGTGGGAGTTGGGGGGCTGGTTATGGCTGAATATTGAGGTGAGAGAGAGGTGATCTGTATAGCTGAGGACTCTGTGGGGCAGGGCATTTACCCCATGTCCCTGGTTGTTCCCTTTATTTAAATTCTCCTAATGGAATCATTGTTTAACGGGACTTTTGTTTAGAGTTGTCCTGACTACAGTATTGTACTCGGGTATTGAATAGTTTTGGTTGAACAATGTGGGTGAGCTCATCAGGAGAGATGGATGGATTTATTTCAGAGTGGGGTGGGTGGGGGATGGAGATTGCATGAATGATACGATCACATAACACACACGATATGATGGTGTGCGTACAAGATGAGGGTCGTCGTGTACATGATGTTGAAGGGATGGGGGCAATGACACCACAATTGCCCACCTGAAATTGCCCACCTGAAAACCTAGCTCTTTCGACCGAACCTATGGTCACCACCCAGTCCCTTCTCTCTTATGCTGTGTCCACTATAGTACAGGAATTAGACATTACCCTATGTGAAGAGCACTGTATCAATCCAAGTTGTGTGTTGTGTGTGTGTTGACCTCCTGATGTGGAAGGTGCTGTATAAATGTAAGTCGTCATTATTATTGACTGAAGTCCTATAGGTAGTGGTTAACATGCTCGCCTTGCAAGCGAGAGGTCCCGAATTTGATTCCCAGGCAGGGCGAAACCTCAGGCAAGTTTCCTTCCTCCACACGCCCCTGTTTACCTAGCGGTAAGTAAGAACCCGATTGTTAGTCGATTGAAGCATTGCTTTCCAGGGATAATAATCCCTTGAAAAAAATAATTACTCAATCCACTTCTGTTTGTGTGACACTGCTGTGCGCAATTGGCTGCTGGGTTTCACCCACAAAATATGCAGTCCCCCCACGTTACAATATATTTTGTGAAGCGCTTTGAGATGTCTCACTGATGTGATAAGGCACTTTATGAAATGCAAGGATTATTATTTCTTGTTGTTGGACGGACGCTAAACTTGCCAAACATCATAGAACATCCAGTTCCCCACAGCATCATCACTCGTCACTTTAAATTAGTCACAAATTAAGCAAAATAGGAATGAGCAAGGGATTCTGTTTTATAGAAGCGTGCTGTTTTACATATAAAGAAGTCAGGGTGTGTCACTGCATCCGTGGGCTCCCTCTGTGCTCTCTGCTCTCTGATGTTTGTCTGGTTTGGATCTTTGCCACATGCTGTCCAGTGAGTTCTGCTCTGGTTTAACTGCTCTCAGATTTCTCAGAGGGGAAGTGAATTGTCTTGGCTCACGCAATTTCAATATAATGGACTTTGTGGAAGTGACCGGGAGGTGAAGCTGCTTTTATTTATTTTAAGGCTTCTTTTAAGTCGGGCAGAGTTCAATAGCCTGTCTGGATATTCACTTTTATTTTATATTAACACCAAAACACTTGACAATGTTCTACTCTCTCATACTCTTCTTCCTACTCTCTTTTTCTCTCTCTCTCTCGTTTCCCCTCTCTCTCTTTTTTGAAGGCAATGGCTCTTGCTCTGGGGGACTGCCTAAGAGGTCACACTTCACGCTTGCCCTGAGATTGACTACCTGTGGGTGGGTCAAGGCAGCGTAGGGCATGCACATGTCACAGTTGGGGCTAGTATTGTGGCTCGTTGACGGCCACTCGTGTGCACTTTCAGGTGCAGGAGAGCGGGGCATTTGATCACAGTGAAAAGAAGAAAAGATGCCAGATTTCCCCGCCACCCCCCCCTCCCCCATCCCAACTCCTCCACCCTTCACTAATCCAGAAGCACTACAACCATTTGTAGCATCTGCTCAAAGGCTCCATAGAGAAACCCACTCACTCCACACACAGCCTCGAGTCTCTGAGTCTGTCTCGCTCCTGGCCTGCGTACACAGTACCTCACTGAGCAGTGCTCATACATATCTGCGAGCACTGCCCTTCTCTTTGCCAAACATGTTAGTAAAGGGAATGGTGATTACCATTTCCTTTGTTGGTAATCACCATTTTTTTATTCTTCTCTCTCTGTCCTGTTTTCAATGGGTTCGTTTCAGTCACAGTAACTCCGTGTGAGGAATTACATAAATGCTCACCTTGTTCGATGCCCTCAGGTTAACCATTGTCTCACTGACCCAAACTATGGGCAGCAATTTAGCTTTGCCGGACAGCAATGTCGATGGCAAGCCATGCGGTTAGATTCCAGTAGTTACCCCCAACGCACACTCTGGGGTCCCCAAGCCTTGGCCCTTGTCAAACTGCAACTAATACTTTCTGGAATTAGGTAAGCAGGGGATGTGTGCCTCG